TTTGATCCAGCGGATCGTGTTTCGCTCGGGGTCTCTCGTTTTTCAAACGAACGTGGTGTAGAAACGTTCGATGGGTTTTCCGAGAAAGTTGCCCGCCCGTGGTGAATTACGATTCTACCGTCGATAACAGTGACGTCATCGGTCGCTGAATCAATGTTAAAATTAGTGGAGGAGATATCGGTGTCGTAGTTCGCGTGAATCGTCCGAGAATGTTAGTCGTCGATGGATCGGGGAACTTTTTACACGTAGGCAAAGAAAGGAGGAGAAAGTGCAAGTATTCGAGAAAGAAAGAGCACAGAAACATATAAGAGCATAATTTTTGAACCAACATTTAGGTTGAATCATCATGAATCTTAATACCAAACTTACTATGATCTTCAAAATGACTGATTTCACATTTTTCGTTTCGAAATTGTTCAGATTGTAAAGATTTCAATAAATTGAATAAATTTCTTCATTCAATCATATATTATAAATAAAATAAGGAGACGTCTAAATAAAATCACTTTTGTTTTTATAAAGCAACACAAGGTTTTTAGGTTTAGACCTCTGTACGATTAATATTAACAATTTGACGGACGTTATTCTTACTTGGTAAATTAATTTGAAAATTAGACAATTATTGATTTGAAAATTAATTTTTACGCCGATCTATTACATTTTCCAATTTTTATAAGGATTCGCAAAACATAACGAGAGGGGAATTGATTTCGTACAACTTAACTTCTCAATTTTAATTTGGTTGAACAAGATATTTGAATTTTCTGAAATTTTTTAGCGTGTTGATGTGGCAGTAAATATATAAGAAAAATTACTGCTGTCTTTATTATTTAATTCTCATATTAGTACTGATCGTTTCATTCTATCTCCGTTCATTGTTATCTTATTATTATTGCTTCTCCATCCAGAACATTTTCTGCAATAATGGTTCAACCCCATTGACATAATAAACTATTAATAGTTGACATAATAAATAGTAGACATAAATAAACTGCTATTATTGATAGTTGGACAGAAAACAGAAAAGATAGGATAAGAATACATTGTTCTATAAGTAGAAAATAGAATAAGTAGAAACAGAAAACCGTGAACTGGGCAAACCGGAGGGCGTAAGTAGGAAAGGACGACAATCTCTCGACGACCTATTATTCTACTTCGTCATACAATAGCGAAGAATATTCCGGAAATTGGCGAGCTTTTCGGTGGTGGTCGCATAAAACGAACGACACGTGCCGTGGAGTAAAAGTTCTCCTTCGAAATCTATTATTAAAAGCTGACTTTCGTGCAGACCACTAGCCGTTCGATCGAATCGTTTGGGGGATTCCATCGATTTTCTTGGTCTCCCGCTAAATGTCAATCTTCGTCGCTACTTTGTCTCGTCTCTTGAGTAGTGGCGACAGTTATTAAGAAGTTCGATCACCCAACAAATTGGTGAACGCTCGGAAAACGCGAATAGCAAAAATAGAGACCTATCAATATTAAGCAGATAGTAGCCGCGGCTGCTCCTTGAAACCGTCGTAAAAATATCGACTCTTTAAATAGCGGATCATCACAATCGTAACTAAACGCCGTTTCATCAGTGAAATAACTCCCGGCTACTTTTCGTGTCACGGACGGATCGCGCGCCATTGAAAAACCGGCTGAGTCGGCGAAAATTCGCGCGAAAGGGAAATCTCTAGTTCCGAAAAGAATTTATAATGTGAAATTCTTCATTTTCTGTCGGAAAATTCATTCGAAAATCTTGCAATGAAGTAGAGAATCTCGATAATCGCGTGGAACTTGACTAAATCCACCAAGGGAGGCAAAATGATTCACAGTTTTTTTGTTGAAAGTCGATGAAACCAAAACGACTCTTTCCTAGGAAATGATTGAATCAATGCTTTAATGCAGGCATACGTTATAATAAAAATTGTATTGTCATTGTCAGTCGTATTTACGACTCGGTAGGTTTAGTGTTAAATGGATTCTGCATTTTTTATTATCAACACTTTTACTGCTGCATCACCCATATCTGAGGGACGGAATTGTTATATTATAATTCCTCGATTTTAATTCGATTAAGTAAAATTCTTTAATTTTATACCATTTTTGAAGTCGCAGTTCAAGTGTTCGGTTGAACAACACAAGTTGATTAAATAATCTATTTATATAAGTAAATTACCGACGATTAAAAAATGAGGAATTAAAGTGATTTTGATAAATCTGGATCGCTGTACAAAATTGATTTCTTTCTTCTTTGATATCGTTTGGATCGTTGATTATGCCGCTCGGTTATCTCGGGAAACCACCTACAGTCGTCGATGACTGGGCTTATTTATTTGGCAAAAGTGCAAATAAAGGCACGGCAGAGATACCGTAAAAAGTTTCCATATAAATCGTGTCGGTGAGGGGTCACCTTTGCATCCGAAATTAAAACGTACGTCGATGTGTAAGGTGCGAGAGCCGGGTTTTATGAAAACGACACTCCCACACGCTCGGCTTAGACGCCATTTAAATGACAATAGCTACTGGACCACCCGGCGTGTCCAATAAGCCCGTCTTATATTTTCCACTGCCGCCAATTGACGCTAAGACGGTTCGGCTCGAGAATAAAATCGAAAAAAGACCTGCTGCTTGAACTGCTTCCAATGTTTTGACTCGTAGAATCGATCCCGATCCCTTGCGACACCGTCGACAAGTGTCGATTCCATTGAATTTCCTAAAAATAATTTCCTTCGTTCTCGTCGACGAATCTTCAGATCTTCCGATGTTTTCAGAATATCAGTGTTTTTAATTAACTCGAGGTCTGATGAGATATAAATAATTATGTTTTTGATTAATTTAATTTATTAAATCAGCAAATTAGATAGATTATATTTTATTAAATCAGCAAATAAGATAAATTATATTTTATTAAATCAGCAAATTAGATAAATTATATTTTACTACATTACATTAGATAAATTATATACACAATTACAGCTTATTCAATTAAATTAATTCAATTTTATTTTATATAATTACAAATATATCAGTAGTTAAATATTAAAATAATTTTTTCGATATATTCAAGCGTACTGATTGATAAAATATAAACAGTCAAAACTGGAGAGGATAGGATTTTATTAATTGCAAACTCTCGAAACGAAATACTTCTGCAAATATCCGCAGTCACCGATAAAAAGATAAGATAGACAATTGAATGAAGAGGGGAGCGTGTTCGGTTCGTTCTTCTGCTTGTTAACGAGGCGTGCTCGACACTACGATTCCGAATTGATTCGCAGGAGGTCACGACGGTAGCCACCACCGTCATGTCTAAACTGCTTTTGGAGTTATCAAGGAACGAGCCCGAAATGGTAAACTACATTGTCACGACTGCGACTTATCTCGCGATGACTCGCTCCCGCTTCATTACCTAATCCCTTTTAAGGAAGCTCTCCGGCCCGACGGAAGGCTGCCCCGCTTAATTACCTCAACGATCGTCGCACGTAATCGGCTGTTGATCAATTGCGGTATCGCGGTCGTAAACGCTCCGGATCACACCCAAAAATTTATTTCGAAGACGCGATACTTAAAAAAACTCTCGACGTCCGATATCATCGTTGCTTGTTTAAACTCTATAAACTACAATCAAATTCGATTGGCGCGAACATATTGGAACAAAAATTAATTTTCATAGAGACAGATGGGACCAGTCGCTAGAAACAGCGTTTCAATGGAACTTTTACAACTTTTATTCGATCACTTTTTACATCTTACCAATCCGTACATTTAAGCCCTTGATACGAATGTTACTCGTTCTTCCAAAGTGAAACAAAATTTTATTCTTCCGTCATCATTTCGCCAAGAAACGACAGCAAATGAGAACACGCAAGAATTTAAAATCGTGTCCTTCTATTTATTAGTAGTTTTTAAAGAAGTATCAATCAACACAGTTGTGGAAAAACTCGCAGTGCAAGGGGTTAACTCTATCAGACGAATCATTAAGACCGTGTTCCTACTGACGACAGTTAATTGAAGAACAAACAGTTAGAGTCGTCTAAGCGATAGCCATTTTCCACATAAAACAGATGCGAACATAAAACAGATCCGTCGAGGTTCGCCGAAGCGATGTTAGCGCTCGAAAACGCCGAAAGGAATTCGCCGGACACCTCGGTGTCCCGTGGCGAAAAGAGTATACGTCCTCGACACTTTAATTGGAACGCGACCCGTCGACGCGATGCAATCGTATAGTCATCGAAATGACTGGTTTCGTCACGAGCGGTTCGAGCAGAGACACGCGGTCCCGCTCCACGTAGGTGCACTAAAATACCGATACGTGAGTCAACGCGTTCCACAGATAAGCGAGGAATGCGTTTCCGTTCAAAAGTGAACTAGAGCGACCGAATCGCGCTCTTGATATCGTTCCCCGTGTAATCGATCGTCTCGAGGATGATCTTGACCCTTCGTCGATACTGCTTTCCTTCGTCGGAAATGGGAATGAAGGCAGACGACGTTGCTGAATTGACAGTGAAATGATTGACATTGGATCTAAGCACTATTTCATAGTACTCTATAAAAATAATGAAGATGCATTCGTTGAGATTATCAGCGATTTTTATATAAATGGTTCGTGAATATGTCTTTATTAGTAATTGCAAATTAAAAAGATTGGAGCTTGTAATTTTGGGTGAGCAGATGCAATTTGTTTGGAGTTAAATATCTTCTGATGATGCTCAATTGGTATTAAAATGATCGACCCTGAATCTAAACACTATTTCATAATACTTTATAAAAATAATGAGGGCGCATTCATTTGGGCTGTAATAATTCAAGATTAAAGAAATCAAAACTTACAATTTTAGGTAAATAGATGTAGTGTTAGTAGCCAAATATCTCCTTCAGTTGTGACGATATAAAGTACGTGTTGCACTGTGTGCAACCGGAAAGATTTTACAAGTCCAAGTTCATTTCACATTATTATTAACATCCAATGAATATTCTGTGCGGTGCGATTAACGACACGCATTTCTTTGTTGCAGGAATTCGGAGGGTCCAGTGACAGGTAAGCCAAGCGAACAATAGGAAACGGCGAAAGTATCGGTCAACGAAAGGCGGAAGTCATCGGCAATCTGCAGACCTCATTTATGATCTAAGATAGCCACAGTTCTCGGCATATGCTATACGTCAAGCTAGCTTAACGAAAGTTCAAGATTTAACCCTTTGAAGTCGACGATTGTCTGACGATTTCAGGATTATGAACTTTATCCTAGAAATTTCAATAATAATATATAATTTGATTATGTATTAGGTGTAAAAATTAATTCGATGCCTCGGTATTCAATTATTTATAATTCTGATTTGAATATTAATAATTGTCTACTATATCATAACATTTAAGTACCGACACTTATTAGTTATGAAACATTTTGATAACTGGTCGAAACGAAAACTATTAGAAATCAAGACGGCAAACACAGGCATCGGATTTTCATTTATTCCAGTCACTCCAACATCATTGAACAGAAACGAATTTACAATTGGAAGAGGTGCAAAAAAATATCGACGAAGTCATTGCATTAAAATCGCCATTTTTTCCGTCAAGAAATTCGTCGATTGCCTGAAAGCCATCGAAAAGAATGAAGATATTCCGAAGAATACCAGATGGATGATTACTTTATAAATAAATACCTTTTACGTTTTACAAAGGCACCGAATTAATTTCTACACCTAATACGTAACAAATGATCATGATATATTGTTCATATTTCCCATTGTTTAGGCCTCTGATGCATGATCCAGTTTCCCAACGAAAATATTTGTAGAACTTTCAAAAATCCGCGAGGGGTTAAAAATTCGAACTTAGTTCAGTCGCAGACAACAATGGCTAGGAGTAAAAATCACTCGAACGTTGGATTCGTCGTCCGAGAATTCCTACGAGCTGTAACTGCATAATGATCCGTCCGATCGTATCGCGATCTCTAGGGGGGCTCGGACAGCCGGGCCCCTCGTTAGCATTCCACTAAATCGCTAATCGTTCCAGGACTCTGTTCCGCGCCACCTCCGCCTCCACCCCCGCCTCCATCAACTGGCCAGGTGCCGGCCATGAGGATCAACACCGTCGAGGTGAGCCGAGACCCGTCAGTTTACCTTCGTGATTCGTCGCGAGCGAGCATTGTCCTCCTTAAAAACCGTTCGCGAGTAAACAGAGAAGAGAAAGGAGAGGAAAAAAAGGAACGGTACCGCGCGTTCTTCTCTCGCTATTGAGCGTACCGTGAAATTGAAAATATTTGCGTTAAAATGACGCTCGGGTAAACAGAGAAGCAGAAAAGATCGTGTTCTCCGATTCTTCGCGTGTATCGCGTCGCGGTTCGAGTTTCCGTCTCCTCTCTGTTGCCAAGGAATGCACCGTGAACCTGAAGATACATGCCTATAAGAGAATAAGCTCGAACGGTGTTTCGTCTTCGACGTTTGTTCTAGATGGTAAGAAACAGTAAATCTTATCGCTTCACCCTCGTTTTTTTTTGGCACGACGCCGGGTGTATTAGTGCACGGTTATTTGTCAAGATCGGTTCAATTTTTATTAATTAAGATTTTATTTCACCGTTGATTTATGTGCCGCGCCAAAGTAAATCCAGACCGTTCGTTCATTCAGTGGTCGTTAACTCGCCGCCTTGAAAGATAAGACGCGAGTGTCGGCAAAATTGTTCTGCATGCGATTAGCGGCACTTGCTGAAAACCTTGCGCGGTTAGACGTTCGTCGATTCGTTCCACGTGTCAGTGTAAGAATTCCTCGGGAGAATACAACACTATCGAGAGTCACAGTGAAAGTAAACAATTATTATATTATATACACATACTCTCGAGTCGATGTAACGTTTCCCGTGTCGAGATACTTCTTTTTTGGTGAAAGATTTGATGGCGTCATATATCGACAGTCACGATGTGTTATCTTCTGAATGCAGGCGCCTACGATAAGGAGGCCGCAGCTGGTTAACGACGGCTACGAGCCGCCGGCGGCGATTCAGAACGCGATGCTGACGAAGGACAAGAAGCCTTTCACGTACACGCCGGGCATGGGCGGCAAGCTGGACCTCTCTCAGATCCGGAGCCCGAGAATGGCCCGCAGAGTGGCCAAGAACGCGAACGACGAGGGCATCGAGGGCCCGCCGAAGTCCGCTCTCGAACAGAAACCGGTGCCAACGACGAACGCTCCTCCGAGCCTGTTCATCCAACCGCAAGTCGCGATACCAGTCTTCCCGACCAATATTCCAGTGCCACCCCCCGCGAACAGGACCCCACCCACGCCACCTGCGAACAGGACGCCGCCGACACCCTCTGCCAACAGGACACAGACCACACCGACCCTCAACAGGACCCCGTCGAATGGTAAGCGATTTTTAACCGGGTGCTGCACTAGTGGATCTGCGATAATTTGAATTTTTACTATTCAGTCTGATAGATGGATTCTTTGTGAACATTTTAAAATAAATTTTGTTTGAATATTCACATAATTGCAGAAGTTATGGCACTGAAGGTAACCCAGTGCACAGTTCAACGGGAGAACAATATTTGTGTGTAAGGAAATTTTCGTGAATTTTTTTGAAAGAATGTTATTGGGTCCTGTAATTTTCAACTGGCCACGATTATTCAACAACGTTCGAAGAATGTATCTAAATTTTGATGAGCAATAGCAATCATTTTTTCCAGAGTTACAGTGGTCAAAGAGCGTCACTAGAAAGAAGTTAACCCTTCGCACTGCATCTCTTTCATAGCCACGTTTATTAGCATTTCTTTGTCCTGGGGACTAATTTTTGATAATTTTCGTTAATTGTACGTCTTCATTTAATTTCAATTCCTAGACGTTGATAACAGAGCAATCAGATAACATTGCAAAGGGAAAATTGCAACAGAATCGGTTTCAGCCGAATAAATCCGAAATCGTTCTAGTTCCAGAGAGGCAACCGGAAGTGATAAAGCCGGTTGCGAAGGTGGAGACGAAAGTGGCGCCGTTGGCGACGACGTCCGTGCAACCAGGTAGCCCCGAGAGCCCGAGCACGCCGACCCAGGTGACCCTGGCGAAAGCGCCGACGCCCTGGATGCAGAACAAGAACAAGCCGCAGGAGGAATTGCCAGAGTGGGCGAAACGATCGAACGCGAACAAGCAGAGTTCATCGCCGGATAGCCCAACATCTCCGCCAGTTTACACTGTCCAGCAAAGTCAGCCGACGCCACCGCCGGCCCAAACGCAATGGCAGCCGGCCCAGCAGAGGCCCCTGTCTCAGCAGCCTCAGTCTTACCAGAACCAGCAGCCCCAGTCTTTCGCTCAGCAGCAACAGAAACGGCCATATTCTAGTCCTCCGGTGTCCCAGCAGGCCAATTCACAGCCGCAAGAACGCGTGATACCGATCCGCGTAAGTCGGCCATCTTGGATCCTCTCACCTCGCATCTTGGCAAACCCCGTGCTCGAAAATTACGCAACAAATTCGGAGAATTCTTTCTACGTTCTCATTTTGAGCTGTGAGAGTTTCCTCGTGTCTGAGGACAATAAATTTTGAGTCGAATGACAAAACATTCATTTATCTCTGTTTTGTCATTTAATGTTCATATTCAAAGCATTGATTTAAAAGCGCCTGAGTCGCTGGATTTTATTTTTAACAGACCGAAAACAATCTTGTATCTATATATTACAATAACGTGCCTCATCTGATTCTCCCTTATTCGAAATAAGCTGTTTCTATTTCTGTTATTGTAAAACATGGTGTTTGCCCGTAAACAAATGAAATTGAACTAAGTAGTCTTCGACGAAAGAAGTTAGGCAATCCGTTATAATAGACGCGAAATAAAAATATAATACTCTTTGAAGATTTCTAATTTGAGACGCGGAAGCTGATTCGCAACGATGTGTCTCCTAGATCGAGGACAGACCGTCAGTGTTCGACGTGAAACGCGAGCCAGGTCACCATCAGTTCAAGCAGCCGAGTCCTCATCATCAGCAGCGATGGGGTCAGCAGTCGGGCCCGAACCAGATGCAGAATCAGGTGCAGAACCAGATGCAGAATCAGGTGCAGAATCAGGTGCAAAAGCAACCGATGGCAGTTCTTCAGCCCGCTCCATCGACGGGCGGTGCTTACATCATACCCATCATGGTCGAAGGCAGCGAGAAGAAGCCTGTTGGAGGACCGGTACCCAATTCTTCGTTCTCGCAGCCGGCCATGGTGGTCAGGAACAATGTACAGGGTGGCGATAGCCAGACTGTGAAAGTGTAAGCTCGACGCGACATTCTAATCGATACGCGTGCTAATCATTGTATCTTTATAATTTAATTGGACGATGTCTAATTAAAGGATACCGCAACGTGGACCAGTCTCCGTTCAATCGGACTCGGGGCCGGTTCAGTCCCGATCGTTCCGCGTGCTCCAGAAGATCACCGACACAGACTCAACGAACGACGTCGATCCAGAACAGCTTCGCAAGCTTCAACTGCAAGAGGACGACAGGGTTCTGATGAACAAATTCAAGGAACAAGGTACGCACAGCTTTCAAGCGTACCGAACGTACTATTTCGCTTCGATAATTTCACTATGAAGGATCGTTGCTTTCTAGTTGACAACGAAAATACGCTTCACTACGAAGAGGATCCGAGATATCGCGGCTCGGCCATCCCCTCTCGAGCCTTCCGCTACTTGCAAACGATGACTGACGCCGGAGACGTGCCTGTTACGTCCAGTGAGTGTCCTTTTCGCACATCCTGTCGACGAGGACTCCGCGGAGTCGCGACACTTATCAGGATTCTTGAGCTTTCCGACACTGCGCGACTATTTTCCAAAAAATTTGGTCTTCCATTTTTAACAAGATTAAACCAGGCCTCGCGAATTTAGCCACGATTAATTGACAACTTATTGTTAGAAGAGCATTGCATCACGTATCGATTAAGTGTGTTTGTTAATATGTATGCGTATTGTAGCGCCGCGACAACAGGCCGCCATCAACAAGAGACAGAACAGGAACTCAAAGTCTTTCGGTGAGTACATCCAAGTGTATAAAGATAACTTTGACATAAACATCGTTATTCTATCGTGCCCAAATCTTACGATACGAAGTAACAGTCGATGCATTGAAGCACGAGAAAAAATGCATTTTACAGCGCGAGACTCGGAGTCAACTCTTTTTTAGACCGTGCGATAGTCGCACGTTTTCGACGGGTCTTTTCAACGGTAGAATTTTAATTCGATCTGCGACTGTTTCAGAGGAATCACAAGCGAACCTGCCGCCGAGCGAGCAACAGGTCCCGGAACCAAAGAAATACATGGGCAGCGCGATTCCCTCGAAGTCCTTCAGGATACTGCAGGCGATGACTGCACCGGAGAGCGTCGGTGAGTATCCTTGCAATGGACGCTGCGACGTCATCCAATCATCTCGACATGTGTATCGTGACAATCATCGGACGTTCTGCCTCTGACAGAAACTATTTGATCAAAGTCATGAACATCGCTGTCTCAAGAATTTCTCGTCCTTCTTTCTGCAACAATTAGAACCTTTCGGTATCTTAAGCGCTTGGAGCACAGTGAAGGTGACAATTGGAATTGCCAAAAGTTGATCTGAACATTCAAGGATCGCTCTCTTAGATCATTGAATCTTCTTCTTTTTCTTGTGATTATTTGAATACGTGGGAAGCAATGTAACTGCAAGGACGATGTAAGTACTGTAAATTGTCGCAAATTGTCCCTCGGCTTGGAAACAAAAATGGACAACTTGAGAAACGGAGACACGATTATTCGAGCTCCGTGACTCGTTTTTATAATTGCCGATTGTCAACACCTATCAAAAACGAGCCACGAGGCTCGAATAATCGTATTCCTCTTCCCAAGTTGTCCATTTTTGGTCTCTAAGCTGAGGGACAATTCCGGAGAATTAACTGAAGTCGTAATTGGATATCATAGCAAATCTTCGATCGAATGCTTTTTGGCAGGGGCGTGCACAATTCACGCAGAAAATACCAAACACGCTACTCGTCCATCGGATTAATCGCAAATACGCTTCTATTGACCACTTGTACCATTAATTGTTCAGTGACAAGCGTCTCTCTCTCTCACACACACTTTTTCTATCTATCACTCTCACTCTCTCACTCTCTCACTCTCTTTCTCTCACCATTCTAATGAACGATTAAAAATACTGATGTAGCGAATGACTGCGTGCCGTCGCTGGGACATTCCCCGAATCCTGTGTTCACAGGAATAAACGAAAATTCCTTGGCGTGTGGTCAGGTCGATTTCCGGGCTGCGCGAGCAACTGAATTTGATCGGACGTCTCCGGGCGCGCGACCCCGAGATATCCCATTTCTCAGCGAGAAGTCCGTTCGAACGGAGGCATAAATCGCTATAATGTGCAATTTTCGAACGTAGATGCCTGGCGAACCAACCTCCCGGCTGTTACACGCGAATCGGCCGATCTTTTGTCACGTTTGTGCCATTCTTTTCTTTATTTGGACAATGTTGCGCATAATTATAGACTCAATGTAACTTTTACAATTTTACTGACACTTAAACGAAAGCCAAAAGCCTGTATTTGTATATTTCTATTTTATATTATTTCCAACATGGAAATATACAAATACGATGTTCTGCTAAGTTTTTGTCTAAACGTCATTAAAAATGTTACTTTGAGTCTGTAATTATTCACATCACTGCAGATTAAAGTTTAAAGTTTACTCTTTAATTTTATTTCGAATTAGTTCAGTCACTCTTGTCCCATTTAATAGGCTGATGCGATAAAGAAAATTCACGAAACGGGCACTGTATTCCAAAGAAGATTTTTTTATAAAGACAGTTGAATTTCTATGAACATTAGAATTTTGTTAACATTCGTGCCCTTCGATAGGTTCAAGTAAATTCTCGTCACCATGGACAAAAGCACGGTCGCGTCGTGTGCAACAGCCGAGAATTTGTGGTTGATCTATTAACGATCCAAGTTATGGTCGTTCGAGCCGTGTTCAAAGAATGTATATCGAACAGTAGAGAAACGATAGATCGACGTTAAGCCGCTGGGATAATGCCGCTGGAAACGAATATGGCGGACGTATGGCGAGTTACGAATGGACTGGGTACTTAACCGGGAATGTTGCATGTTCTATTAATGATTTCACGTGTTCACTGTCGCTGATCATTGACGATTACAATAATTACAAGCGGTCGTTTGCATGTATCTGGATACGAATATTATTTTGGACTCCGATACACAGGACACAGGGCGTCGAGGCGGCGACAGGCAGCTGCTTCGATGATATATTCCCGATAAAAAACGAGTCTCTCCGAATCGGAGAAGAGCGCAGTACGATCGATTGAACGATCGTAAGATCGGCCTGCATCGATCACTCTCGTCGACGCGGGGGACCGATCGTTCTACCTGCTAATTGTCCCGCTAGTTAACAGCCTGTTGGAGGACTAAAGAACGATTTCCCCGGCAAGAGATCTCCATCCGGCGTCACTGTTCATCGCGAGAGCATGTCTTCCGTCTCGGGTGTTGAATCGAGCTGGTTGCCGCGTTCACGAAATTTTCGATGGTTTCCTTTGAACACAGGATCACACGTTTTCTTTTCTCGTAACCGTCCGAAACTACACGTCGCTTGTCCTCGCTGTCGGATGCTCCAGATTCCGGGTCATTCTCGCTTGTCTGTCGGTTTCTAGCTGCCGGAAGTGTGTCCACGTTAGACATTTACTTAACTCGCGTTCTCTCGTAAACCTGGCAAAAGATTTGTTAGTCTGAAGATTTTACTTTTCGTACGACGACGAAATATCCTGAGATAAACGCAGCGAGATACGATGCGATATCATGGATAATTGAATTTTGAACTATATTCGATGGTCGCTTCTGACCACGAGTACTTTCAGTATGATGATTTACTGATCATATGATATACTTTCTACTAGAATAGAAATTCTATTTTTAGAAATCTTATTAATAGAAATCTTATTTTTATATACTCTTTCTACTAGAGTAGACATTCTACTATAATTTCTACTAGAATATTTACTTTCAGATATGATTGATCATATAATGATTTTTTCAAGCAAAGACTAAGCGTGCGCCAAATGTTCGTCGATGGACTGCGGATCTTCGTGCGAACTAAAGATTGTCGGCATTAGCTGCAAGAAATAAAGAAGAATTCTTTCTTCCTTGAAAAACTTCAATAGAGACAATAAAATATTGACATCCTTAAATTTATTTAACGTTGAACCTAATCATAGCGATATTATAGAAAGCAAGATATAGTTAAATTAAATTCTCAAGACAAGCACACGTTATAACAAAAATAGCGAGAAGTTTAAATAAATGCTGTCTTGTCATTCTTGCAAAGTTATTTTTACCCATCAACAGGTTTAGCGATAATCTTTCTGTTGTTACAAATTTGACCAGCTCAATGTTCCAACAAATGCATGAAATCCGCAGTCTAGTTTTTCAAGAAGCAATTACACATCGAGAAGAAAAGTCGCGTTGGTCAGAAGCGATTAAAAAATCGTACGGTGGTTAAGACGAGTGATTAAAAAATTGTTCGACCGAGAAATCGAATGTCTACCGTGGTCGCACGGTGTCCGAACCTCTTTAGACCTGCCTGGTATGTAAAAACCGGGGACGGTGAACGGTGTGTGGGTGGGATCGGAGGATCGTCGACAGGATAGGGGCGGAAACCGCAGGAGCACACCGACACCCGAAGATCGGAACAGCTGAGAACTTGTTGTCTGAATGCATTGTGCTGTTTGTTGTAGCCACGCAAGAAAATCGTCAAGCAGATTACACCTGCCAAACCGAGAATAACGTTCCGGGCAATCAGCAGCCGGTCGTCCTGCCCCCGCTTTGGGTCCCCGAGGGCGGCTGGTGGGGCTACTACCCGCTGCCCTATCCAAACGACTCCTATCCCTACCATCCGGACAACACCGCATACGTGTACTTCCCGATCTACAATCAGAATTACTCTAGTTACCCCGGGGCCAGCGACGACAAGCCTTACCCTTACCCCCCGTCGTACGTGGTCCCGGTTCCTCCGCAGGCTAGCAATTGCGATCACGGCTTCCAGCAAGCCAGCTTCGAGCCGGCGAACGCCGAGCCGGCTTCGAAGACACAGGAGAGCAACGACGTCACGAAGGACACGAACTGGGAGAACAGTGTCTCGAGGACGGCCAGCAGCGACAGCAAGGACAGCGATTGTACCACCGCGATGAACATAACCGACGAGGAAGAGATCCCGGAGACGATCCTCGCCGTGGAAGACGACCTGCCGGACCGTTCGCAGGACGATAAACGCGGCACTGCTAGTTCGAATGCCAGTTCGAATCCTAGTTTGAACCCTAGCTTGAACGTGCCCGTGCCTAACTACACCTACATAGACACCAGCGACTCCAGCGAGTCGACGGATTCCGAGTCGCCGATGGACAACGAGTCGGTGATCGAGTCGTCCAAGAGCATCAGCGACCGGAACTCCGGCGACACGTCCTCGGAGAGCGAGGACTCCGATTCCTACTTGGCTTACTCCACCGGATTGAATCCTCACGGCAGGGTCGAGAAGGATCAGAAAGCCGGCGCAGAAAGTGTCACAGAGAAGAGCGTGGAAGACGAAGGAAGAGCCGAGGAAGCAGACGCCACGGTTCCTCATCAGCTGAGCGTGATCTACGAGGACGAGCAGACGGACTTCGAAGGTCCTAGGTCGCAGGAAGCGAGGAAGCAGAGGAACCCGAGTGGAACGGCTTTCGAGGCCACGGACGATCCTCCCGACGAGGTTGACAACACGACGGTCAGCGTGAGCCTGCCGTTGAGGTTCAAGTTCTCCGTGTCGGAGAACAACGAGGACGTGACCACGGTGATCGTCGGGGACAGCACCATCAAGAGAGCCTGCGACAAGGACGACGCGAGAGCTTCCAGGCCCCAGGAGCAGAAGACTTCCGTCGAAGTCTCGGCGAACTTCCGAGTGGACAACGACACCTCCGCGGACTTCACCGTCAGGAGAGAGACGTCCGATGGCAAGCGGAGAGGCCAGCAGGCGCCGAAGAGCGTCACGGTAGACAGGATCAAAGAGGACTCGTCGGAGGAGCACGAAGACCCGGTGGTCCCCCACGTGAACTTCACGCTGAGGAAGATCCCGACCAGGCTGGGCCGGATCAACTGCGAGGAGACCGTCGAGACGGAGTTCACGATCAAGAGGAGGAGCAGCAGGAAGGAGGAGGACTGTTCGTTGAGCACGAGCACGGTCACGTCGAACGAGGACAGCTCGACGATCAGCAGGGAGACGGTGATCGAGGATCGGTCCGACGTCAGGGACTTCAACAAGAACGTGCAGAAGCCGGAGGTGATCGTCTCCGAGTGCAACGGGAAGGACTACTCGGAGCAGGATCGGATAGAGAGCGGCGTCGAGTCCTCGAGGAAGATGGAGGAGGAAAGAAAGGAGCCGAAGCACCTGCTGAGCGTGCAGAACTCCCGCGAGGAGACCGACGACGAGGACAGCGGCGTGACCTCGGACATGAGCCGGATGATCTCCGAGGTGGACACCGACTCCGAGTGCACGTCCACGAGGAACATGAGGAAGTACCAGAGGACGCAGACGCACTCGCGACTCTTCAGGCTGCTGAACGACGACTCGGTGCCCGAGGACTCGTCGGCGAGGAAGCAGCAGCTCAGCCTGCCGCTCAAGAGCAACGGCTTCAGCTACGACGAGAGCTACTGCTCGAACTACTCCAGCGGTCTCACCTCGCCAGAGTACTCGCCCAGCTGCGAGCAGTCCTGGCGGAGGCTGCACGACCTCGAAACCGGCCAGAGGACGGTCGACCAGAACGAGGAGCCGCGCGCAGGATCTGCGCTAACTCGGCAGGATCGAGTCGCCGGCAAAGAGGACCCGTACTACCAGGCCTGGAAGACCAGCAAGTCTCCCGTGGCCGGCGACCACGACGTGGTCCCGTCTCTGGCCTTCAAAGTCCTCGAGAGCAGAAGACCACCCTGGGCCTACAAGGTGAACGTGCTCTGTCCCAGGATCAAGAGCACCAAGAGCGTGCCGCGCGCCCTCCAAACCAGGAAGACCGAGTGTTCGCCGACAAATCCGGTGTCCTCTAATCCCATGTCCTACGTGAACCTCAGAACCGAGCGTTGCTGATGGCCCGGGGCTGATTGAGGCCGTGTTTGGCCGCGAGCAACCGGTCCACGGAACGAGCCTCGCGCAACTTTTCTCTAGATTCGCAACACTGGGCTGACTATTGCCCGGGGGGGCTACAGGCTACGTGGTTTTTTTTTCTATCGGTACATATCGTTTCCATATAATACTCATCTGTATATCGCTCTTTACTTTTCTTTGTTTATCTAGTTTTATCAGTCTTGCGTCTTTATTTTTGTTAGTTTTTTTGTTCCTTTTGGTTCACTATTTTGCTCTTTTTTTCTGTGTTTCTCTCTCTCCCTCTCTCCTTTCTTTCTTCCTGTTTCTTTCTATTTCTAGTTTGATCTAGTTCTTTTGCTCGTCGACGGGAACCCTTTCGCGAGAGACGCTCTGTCGTGCGGCGGGAGTCTTGAGGGATGCGTTTTCGAGCGTGGTCTTGTCAAGGGAGTTATTATGGAGTAGTAAATACATGATCGGAGATGTTACGAAGGTTATGAGAATCGCGAGAAGATCGTACCGCTCGTGAGGCTATAGTCCTCGCGCGACAAGAAGGCAGCTTTGTTTTTACATTCCCCCTCTCACCAGCTGCCTCACTGCCGCGGCGGTCGCTATTGGTCGCCGCCGATCTTCGCCACCGCTTTCGGCCAATAGCGATCGATAACTGCGGCAGTGGGGCAGCTAGTAAGAGGGGGAATATCAACGAAAAGGTGCCTTATTGTCGCGTGAGGACTATAGAAGGATTATGAATCGCAAGAGTTTCGTCCCTTTGAGAACGAACGTGAAACGACGGTACTAGGACTGTATATCTATTAAACGTGTAATTTGTTTATGTATGTAACAGAAGATCAGAGAATCTAATTCTCTGAGGAATAGATTCCTGGTACTTTCAAAAAAGACTGAGATACTTCTGCAAAGAAATTATGAAGATCGCAATGATTACTTTATAGACAAAAGATATCACGAAAACTACGATGTAAATAAAAATTAGATAACAATTGCAGGAGACAGAATGATCACAATCATCGCAATGACCATAAGAGTCGTAAGAAATATAAAGATTGCAATGATCATTCGAATTACAATATTACAAAATAAAATGATCGCGAGATCATAAAGGTCGCGAACATCGTAAATCATAAAAAAAATCATCACAAGAAGAATCACAAAAATTAAAAAAGAAAGATAAGGATCGTTAAGATGACAGGAACCGTGAAGATCACAGTGGAAGAACGCAAAAGACAGAGTCTCTTACGAAACTAATGAAGATTGCAAAGAATGCAGACGACTATAAAGATCAAACGACGAAATACAAACTCTCGTAAACGCGACAGAGTGTCTCGCGCAAAAGGGCTCCACTTTCCCGTTTATTTTTTCTCCATTTTTCCCTGCGCCTTATCGCATCTCTCATCAAGTTTGCGTTGGCCAAGAAGATCGCCAGCGTCCGAATCACGTGGAAATTATTCTCGCGATAGTATCGATCCTGTCAGCCACCGCCCGGAGTATTTTTTTTTCTCTACTATTTGGTTTTTGTTCTTTTCTTTGTTTTATTGATTTTTGTTGCTGAAACTTGTTTTACTAACGCCGACGTCGCGACGTCGCGACCCGGTTTGTGTTACCACCACCGATTAACACTTGCAGTTCAGTGTATTGTTCCACGATCTCTGTTTTCTTTTCTGTTTCTTTCCGCCGGGAATGTTTTGCGAACGTTCGAGCAGCCACACGCTTGAGAATTCCAGTTTGAGAATGATCTGGCGCTTCTGGTTTTCTTGTAGCGATGATTTCGTAGGGGGAGGACAGGGGGCCACGACGATCCATTTATCGATCCGAGCGATCGATCGTCTTCTATCCAGTCTACCGTCGACTATCCAGCGATTCGTTTTTCCACTGAACACCCTGTGCAATGGAACTGTTTTTCTTTTCAGAAACCAAGTGTACACGGAAGAACTATTCGGTCGAGTGATAAATAACTTCCGTCATTTTATCAGACATTTATTTTGTTTTTTCTTTTTTAAATATTATTTCTCTTCTTTTTCTATTTTATTTACTTTCAACCCTTATCTATTTAGTGCTAACAAAAACTCGTTTGTCCCGGTGACTCATAGCGGGTAGATGAGAACAATAGACTCTGTCTGGCTGCATCGGAAGTTATTTACGACTCGACCTAATAATTACGGAACAATTAATGTTTGAACTGTCCGTTCCTTGCAACCGACGTAGAAAATGGTTATTTTGCATAAAGATTCGCAGTCTGCCGATAGTATCTCGATGCTCTCGTTAAACTCGACGCTCCCGTAGGATTCAGCATGAAGAATCATTTCGTTCCCGATCTCGTCACACGTACCCGATTAACAAAGACAGCTGCATTCATCACCGTCCGCATGCTTGGTTGTGCATTTGCTATCGGCTGCGATGCATCTTGCGATACAGCTCTGTAATAATAACAACGGCCGCGTCGACTCGCGATTTTCCAGTAAACGCGTGCATGCGAAAGGATCGACGCAGGCGAAGTTTCTCGATCGCATCGATCGCGCTGGGGGAAACGCTGATGTTAATCCACGCTTCGATTAAATTGCACATTAATGTCATTCATTGCCTCGATCGGCTTCGATTCGCCAATGGAGTACCACGCCACCGGAAATGGACCGCCGGCCAGGTTATCGATAAATCGGCATCGATATCCCGGCGGTGATCACCTGAATTTTGTCCCTGCGAAATTGCTTTCGTCAGCCACGAGCTTTCAAACGATAATCGAAGGGGGAGGGGAGACCCGTGCGAAGCGTTCAGACGAGAGGTGATCTTTGGCAATTTTTTTACAACGCGAGACCTCGATGAAATTTGTCGCCACTTTGCACAATATATTCTTTAACATCTCGAGATAGAAAATGTTTTTTCTCGTTACGTTTTATCGACTTTTAACGAAATGGCACATGTTATTCCTCGTGGACCTCCCCGTCGACGGCGCGCAGTTTGGCATCTTTTTCCTTCGATTTATATCGAAAAGTCAAGCATTTTCCTCGTAATAGTATGTATTGAGTATGAACCGACGTCCCTCGTAATAATAATTATTTAAACCATATTCATTGCATAATCAAGTTAGAAATTTATGGAAAAAACCATTCTTTTGTGTTCGAAGCCGCGTATCTCCGACAATTTTGCACTTTTTAACGAGCAGTTTCGTTCATACGACGCGTAATACTATTACGAAGAAAATGTAGTTGGATTTTAAGACGCGGAAAAGCAAAGGAAAAAATTCTAAAGCAAAGGAGAAAAATGCTAGACCGCGCGCCGCGTCGTCGACGCGGAGGTCCATAAGGAATAACATGTGCCATTTTCTTAAAAGTCGATAAAATATAACGAAAAAAAACATTTCTTATCTTGAAATGCCAAAGAATATACGTGCCAAGTGGCGATAAATTTCATCAAGTTCTTGGGTTATAAAAAAATTGCCAAATATCAGCTGTCGCTCCAACGCCTCCCACGAGTCTCCTCCCTTAAAAAACGAATCTTTGTTATCCGACCGAAAGGATACAATAAAAAACGATTAATGGGAGCACCGTTTCCCGACGAACCTGTACGTTTGCGTTAACGTTTGTTTCTCTGGTTTTTCAGGTCCCGACGCAACTGATTACTGAGCAAAGACGGGTACCTACTTAGGAATCATGGCATTGTTAGTGTGTTTTCTCCTTGTTTCTTCTTTAATTTCGTCATTTTTTATTTTGTCTACACCGGCGATCCGCGGCGATCGATCGAACGACGCTGCCTAGATCGAACGACCTACCCAGAGTCCTCCTCGTCCACACAGATTTCTGCGGATCCTACATTTTTCCCCCCTTCTCCCCGCCTTTTCTGTTCTATCCTAATTTCGACGGTCCCCTCGGTGGGTGCGCGATTCCGAGGGACGATTCATCGACGTTATCACGCGATTTTCTTCTTTCGTTCTTCTATCTTTCTCTCTCTCTCTCTCTCTCTCTCTCTCTCTTTCTCTCTCTTCCTTCTGTCCTTTTCGCGAGACGATCGATAATATCGCCGGGACGCGTCGATCCGCGGCCGGCGGTGTCGCGCGAGCGGTTTGTTCACGTAGAATCAATGCCTCGTTGTGACGTTCGTGTACCATTTTCTTTCTTTTCCGTTCCGTTTTAGAGAGGAGGTTCGAAACCGACCCGAAGTAACCGGCTGAAAGTATGTTTGTATCGATACTGTCGCTACCTTCGATCTGTCCTTGTGCCTTGTTTAGTGTAAGTTGTGTAAAATAAATTATTTGTAAAGTTATCCCCCCTCCCCTCGACACCCTCAATCATCCGGGCTGCGGCGCGTCGGCGACATCGTGATCGGACCGCGGATTTTTCATAATCGACCCTTTGCACTCGAGGCCATGCAAATGTAAAATAAGTTCTCTGACTTATGGTATCTCCGTTTTACACGGCGAAGCGCGTTTCATGCGTATGAAATTGAGTCTCGCGAGTCATATAACAGTTAACGATAACAAGTTTTAACAATTTCTTGAGTCTGAACTTCGATAACAGAAAAATTATCTTGAAACGTGACGTAACAATTTTAGTGGTGCCTCGAGTGCGAAGGGTTAACAGGGAACAAATCAATCGCAAAGATCGTAGGGCTGAAGTTTATAAAAACTATAATGATCTCAAGTACCGTAAAGGTGTCGCACGCGAATTACAAAAATCGCGGGGAGCGTAAGTGTCGCAAAAATTGCAAGGCGGCGGTCGCGGTGATCGTGAAAATCCCGAGGACGTAAGGTCGAAAGGATCAGAAGGGTTCGAGGGTCACAAGGATTAGCACCATAGAGACCGTAGGAGACCCACGACCTCTCGACAATTAAAAACCAGTGGAACGGGAAGGTGTTTCTTCGAGAATCTTCAGAATGTTTCACAGCGAAATGTACGTTCGTTTCTTGTGCATGATGTACGCGATCGCCGTCCACAAGCCAACGCACCAAATCGACTCTAGCAAACGCAGCCCGCGGCTCTCCATGTTGCCGTAGCTCCAATGGAACGGGAAGATTTGATAGCACAGCATGTGGCCGACGTATAACAGCAGCGGGTTCATGCCTGCGGGGAAAGAAGTTCTCGTTATCATCGGCTCGAACGCGAATTCGTTCGACGGGTTGTTAGAAAAATCGTGTTTCGAGCGCGACGAAAGAATCGTGTCGCAAACAATTTCTATTTTACATAAAGATCCGCAGTCCAGTTATCGGTTGCGCAACCACGTGAAAGCGTCACGTACCGGGGATTCGGAAAGGACCGCCGTTCCACAGGTTGACAACGTCCACGAGCAGGTAACACACGGTCAGCAGCGCGAGAGAGAAGGACGTCGTGACGAACACGAACGACAGCGACCTGTTTGCGTGGAATAATCAGCCGGTGTTGCAATCGGTGTACAGGGTGGAAGGAAATTATACAGGGTGTCGAAAAGTTATGGTACTTCTTGGAAACGAGGGGTTCCCGAGGTTATTTGCAGTAAATTTTTCCTTTGCGAGAATGCAATCCGCGGCTTTGTTTGAGAGTTATTAATGAAAAACGGTGACCAATGAGAGGCGAGATTAGCTGGCGCCAAATGGCTGTGGCGACTGATCTCGACTCTCATTGGTCACTGTTTTTCGATTGGGATAAAAAATGTTTGAAATGAACAATATAATAAATTCTGCCTAAATTGACCCTCGTTTGGAAACAAAAATGGACAATTTGGGGAGGGGAGGCACGATTACTGGAGCCCTGCAGCTCGTTTTTGTAGTTGTTGACAATCGGTAACTATAAAATAATATAGAACTATAGAATAATAATAACTAACTGTATAATAATATAATAATATAACTATAGAACTATAGAACTATAGAATAATAATACCTAAGTATAGAATAATCGTATCTCCTATTCCCAAATTGTCCATTTTTGTGCACAATCTGAGGGTCAATTAGGGAGAATTTACTGCAGATCCAAACTCAACTCCGTTCGCACAAAAACGGTGCGAAATTCCCGATGATATTTAACACTAAACCCACTGAACCTGTTAAAAAAAAACCGATTTTACATTTCTTATTTCAAAGTTGCTAAAATAATAAAAACTCTTTCATAGAAAATGATTGAAAAAAAAATTCCACAATCGAAGTCTATACTGTAATAAAAATAGCAAAAGGTCTAAATAAATACAGTCTTTTCGTCGTTATAAAACAACGCACGTTACATGCTTCTTGGCCTCGGTAGGTTCAGTGTTAAACATATTATTTACAATACTCTTATACTGTACCATCGATTATAGCATGTAGAATAAATAATTTGCCATCGACGAAGCAACAGAATATTCAAGTTTGGAAATTACTTGGAAATATATCATTATTCAGCGAGGAACGATTTCAATTTTTGTTGTTGCTGCTTCGTTAACATATAATTTCCTTCCACTCTGTACATTGCACATGCTCCGTCGGCTATTTTCGGTGACTCTGTACGCACCATAGGTGCTTGTTGACCGGGATCAGGTTGGTGAAATGGAGGGTGCAGCCGATGCAGCCGAACACTGCAGCCCACGCGAGCCACCTAATCACCCGGGCTTTCCAGTCCTTGTACGACATCATAATTATGCCGGCGTGCAGTCCGAGGAACACGTGGAACGTTGACGTAAGCGTACCTTGGCAAACGAAACACGTATTCGTGGACGTATATCGGGCGTAAATCGGGTGTAAATCGTTTTCTTGCGAGTCTCTCACTCGATTCAGAAATTAAGAAATGTCTTGAAGTCTTTGTGTCAGAATCAACGAAGTAACAGAGTCGAATGTTACCTCGGAGATCAAGGTCGTTACTGCTTCGAAAAATTTGAGTACATTCTTCGAATATTAGCTGAAGGTATGTCAAGTTTTGAATTATAGTACTCGGTGCTTTTCTTTCAAAAAATTACTGAAAATCGCATCGTAATTAGAGCGTCGAACTGGGGATACTAATACAGTAAATTCGACCTAATTGTGGCTCAAATTGTGCACAAGAATGGACAATTTGGGAAGAGGAGATACGATTATTCGAGCCTTGCGTCTCGTTTTTATAATTGTTGACAATCGATAAAAGCGATAAAAATGAGCTGCAAGGCTCGAATAATCCCCTCCGCCTGAATTGTTTGTGCACAATCTGAGCGTCAATTAGGGAGAATTTACTATAGTTCTTTTAACACTAAAACTACCAAATCAATCAAAAAATTATCGATTATAAAAAAATATATGTTAGCCACGTTTAGGGTAGTTTTAGCGTAGTTTCAGCCTTAGAAACGAAGATCAACGGTTAAGAATTTCCGGAAAAAATTGTTCAAGAACACCGACATTCTTATCTCTAATCCGTCAAATTATTTATGTTAACACTTTGACTGCCGCGACGTCCGTACACGGATTACAGAATTATTTAAAAATTCATTTTCACGCCAATCCATTCTAGTTTCTCAATTCTATTAAGACTCGCAATAGATAAAAATACTAAAGAAAGTAATCGATGTCATATAACGTCGTTTTGCAATTTTAATTAAATTAAATTAAACACTTCAATTCTATGAAACTCCCGAGAATTTCGGTGCGGCCGTCGAAGCGTTGATTTGAAACTATAATTATTTCGAGATGAATATTTGAAAGAAAATGATCCCCGTCCTTCCAATAGAACGTTGACTTTCGAAGGCTCGATTAACGAGTTATCGACGGCAACACTTCAATTTTATAAAACTCTCGAGAATTTCGGCGCGGCCGTCGAAGCGTTGATTTGAAATTATAATTATTTCGAGATGAATATTTGAAAGAAAACGATCTCCGACCTTCCAATAAAACGTTGACTTTCGAAGGCTCGATTAACGAGTTATCGACGGCATACCTAAAATCCCTTCGGGATCGTAGGGGCCGGCATTGTAAACGGACGGAGAGTGATGCAAATGAGGTTCTTTGAGCACTACCCTGTCGATGTAGCCGGCTGCCCCGCCGACGCAGTCGTAGTGCTTCCCATCGTCGTGCAGACCGCCGGGACCGAGGTATCCGCTGACAATAATTCCTTGAATCACTTGGCGCGAAGAGGAACGTTGTTCATTGCGTTATACCTACGTACGTGGGACATCCGGGGACGTTCAGGCAGAACGTCAGGACGCAGTGGACTGCGACAATGGCGAGCATCACGCACCATTGGGGCAGCAACACGTAGACGTCTTGCACCTCGCGTAGCATGGGAGACTGTTGCAAAGAAATGTTCGTCGTTTTTTAGTTGAACACTTTGAAAGGACTGTAGACTGTTTTAGAGCATGTTGAAGTAGACAGCAATTCCCGTAGATAGATCCAAGGGCAAATTAGGCCAACGACGTAAAGGGACAGAGGGTAGTTTTACATTCGATTTATCTTAACACGTTGCAATAAATTCTCCCTAATTCGCGCTCAGATTGCGCACAAAAATGGACAATTTTGGAATAGGAGATACGATTATTGGAGCCTTGAATCCTCGTTTTATAATTATTGACAATCGGTAAAAACGATAAAAATGAGCTGCAAGGCTCGAATAATCGTATCTCCTCTTCCAAAATTGTCCATTTTCGTGCGCAATCTCAGCGCGAATTAGGGAGAATTGACTTGCACGCCTAGCGGGAGAAGATCAATGAAATTTAAAAAGATCTACTTTTTAAAAAACATTTAATATTCTCGAAGCTAACAATAAAATTTTGATAGCAAGTGTGTAACAAGGATTTTTATGATTTCAAAGCGGGTTCTTTCGAATGTACAGGGTGTCCTAAAAATGTTTCATTGGCTCGGCCATCTCGCGTCAACTAATCTCATCTCTCATTGGTCACCGTTTTTCGATAATAACTCGCAAACAAAGCTGCGCGGATCGCATTTTCGCCGAGGAAAAAGTTACTTCAAATGACCTCTGGAAATCCCCGTTTTAGGATTGCCAGACCGTATAACGAAGTTTGTACAACTCTTGAAAATCAAATGCGCTCACCTGCGACTTCGCCGGCCGCTTCTTCATCAGACATAGATAGGTCAAGGCGACGATTAGGTAAGTGAGGCCGAATCGTTGTAGGACGCCGAATATTCGGATCGTCTCGAGTTGAGCACCCACGCTCGCCGTGTTCAACGACACGCCGATCAAAAACAGCAGGACGCTCCTCTGTTGACGATAAACGGTTACATTGTTTTTCAATGGTATTCTCTTGCAGTTAATTAACGATGCGATAAGACCGGCCGAGCGGCCGATGCTGCACGATTAATTCATCGAAGATTAGATAAACGTGTACAGCGAAAGTGTGTCAGATAAAATTGAGAAACATAATGCGCCGCCACTTGACATAATTGTGAAGGAAAAACAATCTGAGCAATAAGTTTCGAATATCGTCGTTTTGCATCTGTACGTAGGCTCGTCGACGAGCCGAGCACGAGCCGAGCACGAGCCGAGCACGAGCCGAGCGGATTAATACTATCTTATTTTATTATTATTTCTAGACATGCAAAACCCGTATCAGTGTAACGAAATTAATTTTCGTTAAATCGACGATTTAACTGTTATTGCAATCGCACTGCAAGATATAAATTAAATTAAAAGAAGACGAAAATGGAGATAAATCGTCCACTCAATTTAGGGAACTGTATTTATCTATTTAATCTTGCACTGTGTAAAAGAAAAATAATATGTAAAAAGTGATAATAAAAAATAATAAGAAATAATATAAATAATAATAATAATAATAATAATATAATATATAATATATGTATAATATAATAATATATAATATACATATATAATATAATAATAATAATCGTAGATGACTATAAAGGGAATTTAAATGGACCTTAAATAGACGTTAAATAGACCTTAAATAGACCATTGGATTAAATCGGTACCTTAACGATCCCTTTCATGATGTCGACCCTAGGTTTCATGCGTTTTATCTGACCAGCCAGCGCCACGGGTATGCACACCCCCATGATCCATATGAAGCATGGGAAGACCAGGTCTCCGAGCAGCAATCCGTTCCAAGTGGCGTGGCCCAAGTTCTTGTAGCCACCGGATCCGTCATTTACGAATATCATTAACAAAATGCTCGCCCTGTCGACATCGTTAGTATTCAATTTTCAATAAAATTATCAGTCTTTTACATTCGCAGCTGTCTTTAGGATTTTTCTTCCCTCGATATTTTATATTATCGTCGTATGAAACAGAAGCGAAGGACAAGGTTCAGTTAATGATCGAGATAAGGTGCAAGTAGAAATTAGTTGGTATTACGTATGGCTCACCCTCGAACTGTATCGATTGCTTTCACACGACGTTTCACGGGCTGGCTCGTCGCGTCGTCCACCTGATGTCTCGCGCACTTCTTCCGGCACAGATGCCATAACAATTTCAGGCTGGACAGGCCGAACAAGGCGACTATCAGTACCCCGAAAATAACGAACAGCTCTGCAAGCAGTCGAATCGAATGTCGAGACATAAGACATATCCTCGATTTTATTTGTTTATTTATGTATGCGAGTAAGAAGCCATTTTTTACTATAAAGAACAAACAGCTAATACTGATATTAATATATTATATATTTATGATACACGTATTATGATATATTTTTATAATACATATTGTAATATATACTTATAATATACTTATAAAATACTTATAGTATATATTATAATATATATATTTATTTATAATATATTATATATTATATATTATATATTATATATTATATATTATATATTATATATTATATATTATATATTATATATTATATATTATATACTATTTAATATTAATATATTTATGTAAACTGGTTTTGAATTTTGTGATATTGATTGCAAATATGTCAGTTCCATTCCTAATATTATTAGGTTTAAGCACCGTAATTTTTTTCGTCATTTTTATTTCCTTGCGTCCAAATGAAACAAAATATTTCATCAGATTTTCCTACGAACGCGATTCGCCTAACACGAGCGAGAAATAATTTCGAAGTTACTTGCTTTTAAAACACACGCGACGAACTTCAAATCGAACAAATCTCTCGCGAGGCGAATCGAAATTTCGGGTGAAAATCCGACGGTTTTCGATCATTCGAAACAACGTCTCACCTGTGTAAACGTACGTGGGTGCCGTCAACACTTCGACGTCGCAGCCATCCGATCGAACCGACAGCTCGTAGACACCGAATTGTCCTAGGTTCGGCGTCAGCTCGCAGATCACGTTGCTGGAATGCGAAAAACAGTTTCTTGGACGCGGTCGGACGACGCGAATAACCGTGAACAACAGTAGAACCGGTTAAACAAAAAACGCCTCCTCTCGCGCATCCTTCTATCTACCTAATGTTTTTCGTGGACAAGTATTCGTTCGGATCATCGCCGTCAAGGACCCTCAATGTGGACGACTTGAGAGTGTCGATCGTGATGCTGGAGCTCGAGTTCGCTGCGAGCTGCTTGACGCGAGTGTACGGGCACTGGAAAAAGGGTACAGACGAAAATAGGGCGATTATCGAATGGACATTGTTATCATGCAATTGAAAGAAGTCGAGTTTACATGACCGAAGCGAAAGGATTGCGAAAAGAGGAAAGAGATGCCTGGAATTAGGTCCTCGGCAGTAAAGGAGCCTAAGCGACCTAATCGTCCTATTAACATTAGAACTAAACGAATTTTGATGGATTAGGGATTCTTTATTTTACAATTGCAGTTAATTCTCCCACACAAATTTGAGATAATAGCAATTATTCTTTTTTAACTTTAGGCATATTTATTTCTGCATTCCGACTTTCTTTGTTGTAGTCAGCTTTTCTTATTTGTCTATTCGATAGTTAACATTTTCTATTCTAATTCTGTAACACAAAGGGTTTATTGAAATAAGTAAATGAATAAATACACGCCTAGTACAATTATTCCCATCAGAAAATTAATTAAATTCAGAAAACAACGGCGCTGTAAATAATAATGTTATATTTCAGTATTTAGTATTCAGTATTATATACTTTTTGAGATAAAAATCAAAAAGAAATACAGTACTGTTATTATACGATTTATAATATTCGAGCCTTGCGGCTCATTTTTTTACAGTTACCGGTCGTCGACAACTATAAAAACGGGACCGCAAGGCTTAAATAATCGAATCTCCTCTTTCCGAATTGTCCATTTTTGTTTCCAAGCTGAGCGTCAATTAGGAAGAACATACTATATTGTGGTTGCAATGATGTCTATCTTATAATAAAAATAATCTAATTGTTTCTAAAAAGAAAAAAAGGTTTTCCGTCTCAATTGTTTATATTTAAGTTTGGTTTTTTCCTCTTTTTTCTCTCTTTCTCATTGTAACAAAGGATTCATCCCGTTGATAAGTAAAGTTATCGCTATCATTGTTACTGTTATAATTAAAAAACAATGTAAAGTAGTCGCTGTTGGTGCTCCTCGGTAGTTTCACTGTCGAACAACACGAAATTGGATGAAAATTGTGACGCTTAGATTAGAAGAAGTCGAGTTCAATGGGTCGAAGTAACAGGATTGCGAAATGAGGGAGAAGAAGTAAAAACCGAAGAGCGATAAGCATCATCCTGTGCATTAACGCTAGAAACAACTGAACTTTTACGGATTTCGCATCCTGTGTTGTACAATTATTGCGATAATAAAGATGCTCGTGTCTAATTCGTAATAAAAATCGTTCAGCTGTTTCTAAGTGGCACTGTGCGAACCAACGCTCGGTGGTTTCAGTGTCGAATAACATCGTATCAATTGAAAATTGTCGGAGATTTATTGCGATAATAAAGATCCTCGTGTGTAATTTATAATAATAACTGTTTAGCTGTTTTTTCAGAGGCATTGCAAACCAGCGCTCGGTGATTTCAGTGTCGAGCAACGTCAAATCGATTGAAAATTGTTACACCCGGATGAAGATATATTGCGATAATAATGATGCTCCTGTCTAATTTATAATAACAACCGTGTCGCTGTTTTTAACACTTCCACGACCGTGCTAGAAACCTCAAGAATTTTCATCAAATTAAAATATTTCATTCAATCGAACAAAAATTAGGAAGCGAACTTATATAGCATCAATTACTTCTTCAGCATTATTCGTACCTCTTGCAAATCTTAATAAAATTAAGCAATCATTTTTAATTTTTCATTGATCATCCATTCGGTCATCGATCGACTGAATTTAAAACGTGGAGATCTCTCCATTCGCTTGGCTAAGGTGTTAAGAGTCACTGCAAACCAGCGCTCGGTGATTTCAGTGTCGAGTGAAAACTGTCGCACCGTGTGATGGAGATATCGATTCTAATTAGTCGAAGAGAAGGATCGAGGGCCGACGAGAGAACGTACCGCNGTGGCATCGATTACTTCTTCAGCATTCGTACCTCTTGCAAATCTTAATAAAATTAAGCAATCATTTTTAATTTTTCATTGATCATCCATTCGGTCATCGATCGACTGAATTTAAAACGTGGAGATCTCTCCATTCGCTTGGCTAAGGTGTTAAGAGTCACTGCAAACCAGCGCTCGGTGATTTCAGTGTCGAGTGAAAACTGTCGCACCGTGTGATGGAGATATCGATTCTAATTAGTCGAAGAGAAGGATCGAGGGCCGACGAGAGAACGTACCGCGGCGCAGTCCGAGGAGAGCCAGTAGATCCATGCGTCCCGATCCCCGTGTTGATTTCGCAGTCGCAGACAGGCCTCGTCGAACCGCAAACTGTCTCGATCGCAAACCTCCGCGCTGTCCATCGTCGAACTGTTCGCTTTTGCAACCGGAACAAACGGTGAACGCTGACCGCTGGAGATCCGCTAGAGATCCGCTAGAGATCCTCTCGAGATCCGCGCGAGGATTCGCGGCGGGACGCTCGCCGCTTGTCCTTAAATCCAGGTGAAACGTCGGAGTCGCGACACGGCCCCCGGCGAAAGTGGAACGATCGAAATCGAATTTCTGTTCGGCGGGTTCGCGATCGATCGAATATTATCTTCCCACGAGGAAACGCGGCGGGCTCCCGCGATCGCCGGCCCGCGACTACAAAGTGGCACGACAGCTTTTCTACAAGATCCGCGGAACACGAGGGAACGCCGCGAATCACGTGGGTGCATCGACTGACATTTCACCTGGCATTCAACAGGTGTGATTTTACCTGGCCGCGCTGGCTGCGCTGACTGCCTTCGATGAGAGCTTGAGAGTTGGCACAGTCGGCGATCGGACCTGCATACCGATCGATCAACGCGTTCGCTATCGGCGCGTTGTAATTAGACCGCCGGTCTTTGGACGAAATAAAAATAGTCCGCGTCGATCGCAAGAAACAGGAGCCAAGCAGAAGTCCCTTTCTTCCTTCGACGATTTTTATCGGCTGAAACTGATGCTTCGATGCTCTCCGATTCTTTTAATCTGTACGGTGTTTTAAATTCAATTGATGCGTAGCCGATTTTGATGCAGTTGCATAAGATCTGCAGTCTAGTTATAATATAATAATATTATAATAATTTTATAATAATATTATAAAAATATTTACTAATATAATAATATACTCCTAATTACTTACTATTAATATTAATTAATATAATAATATTATAAAAATATTTACTAATATAATAATATACTACTAATTACTTACTAATATAATAATATTATAATAATTTTATAGTAATATTAATTAATATAATAATATTATATAAATATTTACTGATATAATAATATAATAATATAATAATATTAACTGATATAATAATATAATAAACTCTCCTTCGTCTTTTTCATGCAAGGAGAGTTTATTTATTGTTACAGTTACAGATGATTTTTCCAGAGCCAGCCATAAAGGGAGTATGGTAATTAAAAATAGCACGAAGTCATATCATTAGAGGATTAAACGAATATTTTGAAGGTACAGAAATGTTCAGGAGAATCTCTTTTATCTATGTCAGGCAATAAAAGTTTACTTATTGTTTGCAATATAGAGAACATTCGGTATTTAGCTACATATGACTCTTACAGAGCAAGCTGTAAAGTGAATACGGGAATAGAAAATGGCACGAAATCTAACAATTTGAAGATTAATAAAAGTATTTCGAAGGTGGCAAGATGTTCAGGAGGATGCCTTGTATTGATATCATGCAAAAGAAGTTCATTTATTATTGCAAATATACAAGAACAAATGATTCGTGCCGCTACTCGTATAAGATTCAATGTAAAATCCGGCACGATTCATCTGCTTAAAATATCAAAACAGCGCCTCTTGTGGCGGAATTTAGAAGCTCGGTTCAGAGGTCCGTACAGCGCCAATTAGTGCAGTGGCAAAACGCTCAAACTGTTGGGCAACGTGACCGACGGTGCAAAAAAATGTTGTGCGACAGTAGCGACTCTAGTGGCGAAAACTGAAAGCTTCTTTAAGAGTTAGAATAAGATATGGATATATTGAAATAAATAAGTAAATTATGTTCTAAATATTCATATTAATAACTCCATTTGAGTTTAATATTTCTAGTTAAGTATTTTGAGTTGAAATTATCATTTTAATAAATAAATTATTCTTTTCTAGGTAACTGGCTATTTTCCCATTTTTGTATACTCTGTCTCTTGTAATGTAGCTGATGGACAAGACAGTTTAAAGCTGAATTTTTTAATCGGGAACAATAAATAACTTATTTGTATTTTCTCTTTAGACTTTGAAGTTTTATTAAAATCCCTTTTTCAGAAGAAACTCATTGATTCGAAACAATAAATGAATGAATTAATATTAACAATGCATCCCTAAATTTAATAATATAATTTGTTGTATGTTCTGAATAAAATAGAGCACCAATAACATTGATAAAATAATTACCAATAGCTTATTTCGGCGAACAGTTTCAGCATTTTGCCACTGGACTAATTGGCGCTGTACGGACCCTGAAAGAAGCTTCGAGTTTTCACCACCAGAGACGCTACTATCGGATAAAATATTTTTGCTCCGTCGGTCACGTTGCCCAACAGTTTGAGCGTTTTGCCACTGCACGTTTTGGCGCTGTACGGACCCCTGAAAGAAGCTTCCAATTCTCGCCACCAGAGACGCCACTGTCGCACAACATTTTTTGCTCCGTCGGTCACGTTGCCCAACAGTTTGAGCGTTTTGCCACTGCACATTTTGGCGCTGTACGGACCCCTGAATCGAGCTTCCAAATTCCGCCACATGCGGCGCCACTTTCGTAAACGGCGCCAATTTCGAATGATAATTGCGAAAATTTACATGCATACACAGCATTTTCTTTTATAATACTACTTCAGCATGTTAAAATGTTTGAAGATCAACTAGAAGGACAAGATCTTCGTAAACTGTTCGAAGAAAAGTGGTGTAATAATAAAATAAATTGAATTTATATTTGTAATCTGTTAACCTGAACTTCAATTGTACGATCCCTTTACATTCTCTTTCTCATTCGCATTATTGTTCCCTCTCAGTTGAAAACTGGTACTTTGCAACATAGTAACCTGTTCAATTCGTCGCCAACAAATAATAATAAACGGTACCTTCAATCAATAAATTGATTTTCTTACACGTACAAATTTTTCAATAACTTCAGATTTCAATGATTAAATATTTTTATAGTAAAATAGTTTCTATGAAACTCTTATCAAAATTTGTTCGACTCCTATAAGAACGTACGCTAGACACATTCGATACCGCTATTAATTATTAACAAATCAATCGAAGTTCTCATTTCATCGAAAGACGAGTCAAATAAAAACCTATTCCTCGGACACGTTTCTGTTACGTTAAATGATAATCTCGTCCGAGAACTGCTTAGTTCCGCGTATATTACCCTCGATCGTTTCTATCTTTCATTCGTGGAATTAAGACACTATTGTACTATCTTTTGAATCGGACAGCAGACAGAACCTCGAACGCGTTTTCATTAAAAGGAGTTCCTTAATAGAAACTTTAGTCTGAATTGGCAGCATCTGCGAGAGAGTGACGGCAGGCCCGGCCTTCGAGGGGTTGAACAGGGGAACCAACGATCCTCTATGTTGACGCCCGAAATGCTGTCCGATCGATCTTCGTCAGACTTGATTTCGCAGCGGTACAATCATCCAACAAATAGAATTGTACGTTACCCCATCCGTGCGCACGTTCCCCGTAAAACTTCACAACTGCCGTTCGTTGTCAACAGCCCCTTTCCCGAGTTACACGTAAATCCTTCGACTATTCTGCCTCTCCGGAACGACCATTCGTGTCTACCGGATCGAAATTGACACCATTTTTATGTCAGAAATTATAATGTTAGAAGTTATCATGGCATAAATTATAATTGTAAATTATAATGGTACAAATTGTAATTGGAAATCATAATGTTTAACCAGTTGACTGCAGGGTGCTCTCAAGTTGAGCGGAGAAGCCAAGAAGGCGGAGTATATCGGAGCCGACGGTATTCGTCGAACAGACTTAAATTTCGCGTACGGAGATTCCTCAAGCCATTGTACAGAAAATTTTTCCTAATTGACGCTCAAATTTCACATAAAAGTGGACAATTTGGAAAGAGGCTTATTATTTTGGCAAGACTTATTCGAGTCTTGCGGCTCGTTTTTATAATAACTTCTAAACTATATAATAAATTACATAATATAATAACTATATAATAACTATGTAATAACTATGTAATAAATTATAAACTATAAAAGCTGTAAAAACGATAACTACAAAACTATGAAAACGATAACTATAAAACTATATAAACTATAAGAACTATAACTTTAAAAACTATAAAAACGAGCTGCATTTCTAGTCAGGAACGAGAAAGTAAATAAATAATGGAACTACAGAAAATATGGAAATGATGGAATAATGGAACAAAACGATGTCTCCTTGCATTGTAGATGTACAGTAAATTCTCCCCAATTTTTCATCAGCTTTTAAAGTACCGAGCCCTAAACGTGACTAATGTATATTGTCTTATAGCAATGACAAGACTGGATTTATTTACATTTCCTACGAATTTTATTATAATATGTGCTTCAACGAAGAAGTTCGTACAAAAATGTCCAACGAAAACATTTTTATAGCAACGGAAATTTGACCGGTTTGGTATATATATATATATAGTTTTAATGTTAAAAGAACTACAATAAATTCTCCCTAATTGACGCTCAGATTGTACACAAAAATGGACAATTTGGGAAGAGGAGATACGTTTATACTATAGGTAGTAATTATTATTCTCTAATTCTATAGTTATATTATTATATTATTCTATGTTAGTTATATTATTATTCTATAGTTCTATAATTATATTATTATATTATTATATAATTAGTTATTATTATTCTATAGTTCTACAGTTATATTATTTTCTAGTTACCGATTGTCAGCAACTATAAAAATAAGCCGCAAATCTCGAATAATCGTATCTCCTCCTCCTAAATTAACAATTTTTTTGCGCAATCTGAGCTCGAATTAGGGAGAAATTACCGTCGATCTTCCCATAGCCCACACAGTGGAAGAGCACACGGTGGCCCTCAAAATGGCCGACGGCGGACGCAGCCGCGGTTATGCTTCGATTAAATGTTCTTCGACAGAAATAATCGTCCCTATTTATATTTCTCCGTAGTGATCGCATCGCAGCGTCGCTTCCGAACTGAATCGCGAGGAAGAAGAGAAAACGGTGTACACAAAAAGCAAAACTACTAAAAGATCCTGTTTCACACCGTGGTTCGTCGATTAATTATTCTTTCATCGTTCCGCCGGTGCATAAAGCCTGCCCCGTTTTACTCGAACACCGCGATTTTTAATTAACAACAGCCCGATAGGATCTCCATGGCGCAGGAAAGCGTTGTTTGCGTTACAGGAACGTTTACGCCGCGCGGAACCGTAATAAATAACGCGGAGCACACCGGCTAACGAGCGTTAAATTAATTCCACCATTAATCTCCGGTTAATAAACTAATATCGTGTTCGACGCGCCGCGATATTCGACGGGCTAGTTGTTACCGGGGTGCCGTCGCACGTTGGAAATGGCGGCGGGTTACGATCGCCGAGATTTATGTAACGGATCCGGAATTAATGAAACGACGTCGCGGCGCGGCGGTTCGCGAGG